CGAAACCTAGTGGTAAAATTTGGAAGATTTTGAGACCCAAATGACACGTTTTTTTTTTTTTGGGGGGGGGGGGGGGGATCTCCGACCAATTAGCCACAGCACTGTTAAAACCTGTTTCTTTGCAAGTTTTTGCAACACCTCCTCGTTTAGCATAGGTATAAACATATTTAAGTTTAGAGTTTGCGCAATGTGTGAAATTATATTATCTGGAACATCAAAAAATCCTGCGGACCCCTTTGCATGTGTGTGAATTGAGGAAAACTATACCCTCTACTCCCTATGTCAAATCTTTTTATGTTGACAAACTAGAATCTTTAGTCAAAATTTTAACTTTATATCTTTAGTCAAAAGTTTAACTTTACTTTTAACAAAATATTAACTTTTCTATTGATTAGCTGATTAATTATGATAAATTATAAAATCGATGTACGTACTTTTAAATTGAACTTCCCCCCCCCCCCCCCTTCATACGCTATCGTACGCTTTTTGAAGACCTTACCCCTCCCTCTATAAGCGTACGTACTTTATGAACGACCCCTAACTGTGTTTTCCCTAAAAACGGTTTTTTCGCAAAAATTTTGTATTCAAGATAATTATTTTTGAGAATATTTTAATTTTTGTATTAATAAAATATGATTAGAGTGCTATGAGCACTTAAGGTGCTCATAGCTACTTTTAAGGTGCTCATAACACTTAAGGTGCTCTTAATACCCTAATCATCTTTTAGTCATTTTACCGTTTAAAACACCGCACTATGGTTTCTGAGACCTGATTATTTGGCATAAGTTAATAACTTCAATTTAAACAGAAAGTAACTAATGATTTTTTATTTCTTAAGGTAGGTTTTATGTTTTAAATGTGTTTTAACTAAATTTTAAATGATTAAAATATATATGTGTATAAATATATTTAATATGCTCAGTATAATTAATATAATTATAAAATAATAAAATCTTATGGAACAATTGCACTCTTTCCCTACATAACAGATTTTCTTATTATTAGTTCGAGGTACCAATAATAAGAAAATATTTTTATGAAAAAAAAAAGAAAGTTTCTGTTAGTAAACTTATTAATTCAGAATTTCTGTTAATAGAAAAGAATTTTTGTTAGTAAACTTATTAATTCAGAAGGAAGAGGAAACTTATGATGGTTCTGAATTATTCTGTTTAAATAAATACTAGAAATGATAGAATCTGAGTTATCTAAAGCTCTATGAAAAATATCTTCTAGATTTTTTTTTCTGCTGGTTTTGCGAGCATGAAATTATTTACCATGTTAATATGTTTTCTGTCTTGCTTCAGACCCTTCTTCACCAAAATAACTAATTGGTTGTACTGTATTTTCTAGAGTTTGTCTGCCATGTACTAAAACTTTGTCTACATTGCCGGCATAGGATACCAAGTATATTTAGACATATAATGTTCGGCTGTCTCAAAACAATGTTTTTCGATTTTGTCTTATTTAATTTGATACTGGCAAGAGATGGGAATAAGAATAATTTTAAACTTTTTAATCAACTTTTCATCCACATTAGTTATTTCGGTAAATTTTTCATTATTTTTAAATGCTCGGTGTGCAGTATTACCATTTTTGGTACTTCCAAAATCTCCTACTTTTGGTTTATCCACGTGGTGTAAATTTTTAAAGAACAGTTGCTCTGTTTCTTTTTTTTTTGTCATAAAAAGATTTTCTCATTATTGGTACCTCAAACTAATAATAAAAAAATCAAAAAGGGTCAAAAAGGGTTTTGCCGACTAAATGAACAAAAACATCATTTATGAGGGGGGAGGGGAGGGGTATCACAACAGACCCCACACAGACCCCCCCCCCCCCATCGCACCGGCCTTGATTATTGATAATAACTACTGTTATATCATTTCCAACTATTTAAATGACGAGTTCAAAAACATTTGAGTTTTTCTCATTTTTATCTTTTTTTTCAGTCATACATTAAATAAACATACGTATTTGAAGCGGTTCATCACTGCAAACAAACAGATATATTTTTCATTGGGGCAACTAGGGGCAAGTTTTGAAAACTGGATAACATTTCTGAAAACAAACAAAATTTAATTATGTAAAAAAATTTTTAGAGAAATATGGAGATTTTTATAAAAGTTAATTTAAAGTTTTGAAAATAAGTAATGAAAGAAGAAATACTTCAACGCGCTTATTGCTTTTACATAATTAATATAATAATGAAATATTTAAAATTAATTAAATATTTTCGAAAAAAATATACCTAAATAAAAATAATTCACTTAACAGAAATCAAAAATAACAATTATTTCAAAAGTTATGTGTTATTAAATTAACACTTCACTTTACGCCAACTCACTGTAAACTAAGTTAAGGTAAAAAATAATCTTAACTTGAGTGCATATTACAAAAAAACTGAGAAATATAAAAATAGACAACGTTTATTATCACTTTGAAGGGTTTACTTTAAGGTAACGCATTATAAAATCTTTTTAAATACTTAGAAAAAAAAAGGGTTTCTGCCAAAAAATCAGATCTCAGAAACCATAGTGCACCGCGTAGCCCAAGACCAAATAAATTTTTTTTTTATAATTTGGAGTCTCCAGTAAATTTTATCCTACCTCCTTATTTTTTAGGTTGAAAAATAAAAAGTAAATAAAATAAAATTGATTCGCTCATATGTGATATTCTTATCTTGTAAACTTTATATTTAAAACTACATGTTAAAAATGTAATAAAGAATATATATGTATATATATATATATATATATATATATACATATATATATATATATATATATATATATATATATATATATATATGTATATATATATATATATATACATATATATATATATATATATATATATATATATATATATATATATATATATATATATATATATATATATATATACATATATATATACATATATATATATAAATATATATATATATTATATATATATATATATATATATATATATATATATGTATATATATGTATATATATGTATATATATATATATATATATATATATATATATATATATATATATATATATATATATATATATATATATATATATATATATATATATATATATATATATATATATATATATATATATATATATATATATATATATATATATATATATATATATATAATATACATTTAAGACAAATTTGAAATAAGTTTTTGGTAAGCAAAATTTTTAATTTTACGGTAATTTTCCATGGAAACGCTTGTTTGTTAAAGAAGGATTCCCGCACTTTTTTAATTTTTTATATTTTGAAAAAAATTTAAGAAAAAACTTATTTAAATTAAATTGAAAGCAATATTGGTCATATATATCGTTTTTATATGTAATGTTGTGTCTAATCACTAAAGATTTGATGAATGTAGCATTACTTTAAATGAAGAGTATTAATAAAATAAAATAAGAATATAAATAAATAATATTTTTTCCACTTGCATACGTGATATACGTTTATAAATACGTTTTAGTCACTAAGAAGCTGTTCTTGATTCAGTAATATAGAATGAATAAAGGAATAAAGGTAGAGATTTAATTTATTAAAAAAATATGGACAGACGTACACAACACAACCGCGATAAAGTTATATTCAATATAATATTGATTACAAATTATTTATAGACATAAAATGCAACATTTACTTATTTAGTTATTATAATAGTATATTTTATTTGCCGAATTATACTCTTATACTATATATTTTATCATTATTGTTATTAATATTATCAATTACTACCCAACAAATATATTATTTGCTAGGTAGTAATATATATTGTCATTTTTCAACCTAAAATTTAGATTAAAATGATTTTTAGTTATTTATTAATTTTTTATTATTTTGGCACACAAACACCAACAAATAATTAGTCATTAAAAGATTAATTGTTCATTATACTATAATATCCCATCAACACCCCTTTATTGTCTTGAAGAATTTAGGCTAAATTCTTCAAGACAATAAAGGGGTGTAGACAAGACATTATGTATTTGCTGATATTATAATGTAATGAACAATTTATACTTTTTATGACTAATTATTTGTTTGTGTTTGTGTGTCAAAATAATAAAAAGCAACTAAATAAATAAAAGTCAAACCATGAAAATTTTAAATTCTCCCTAAGAACGAAGTTGTAAAAATTAAAAACAATACATCTGAAGTGGCTCTATTTGCTGTTAACTCAACTTTATACTCCTGTCTTGAATAAAAGTCTTTTCTTTTTGACTGTTTAGAACAGGCAGTGGATATTGAAACTGATCTCACTTTTGTAACAGATTATAAATGAAGTTAAATCTGTTTTATCTACCAGGCTTGAGCCTTTCTCCTATTGTTTAAATTTGCATTGTTTTTCTCTTCTCTACAAATACTATCATTGTCTCGGCTTAAAAGAGATATTATTTCTAGTTCCATCAAACAAAACTCATTCTTGCTTGACTTGTTTGGGTCGTCATTTAAGGAAGTCACACCCTTTTACTGTACCTGTATCCCTGCATGCTCTATTTTTAAATTTTTATTCATCTATTTTTTTTTTACAGCCTACAATTTTTTGTTAACTGTGTTTTTGTTCTTTAGCTCTATTCTTTTTTTTTTTTTTTTTTTTGTATCTCCCAACTTAATTGCAACTTTACTTGCAACCTTGTTTTAAGAAATTAAAATTAAAAAAAAAAGTTTTTTTTATATATTTTTTTAGTACTTTATTATTTTTATTTATTTCTTAATTTATTATTTTTATTTTTTTATTTTTGTTGATTATGTTATTATTATTGTTGTTATTACCAGTATTGTTATTATTGCTAAATATTATTGTTATAATCATACTACTGTTATTATTATTATCATCAATCAGTCTTCTCCGTTTGAAATTTACCGCCAGTGCACAAAAAAAGTGCTGGCTGGACAATAATTATTTGTTCAGCGTGTGCCATTTTAAAAAATATTTTTTTTAGTTTCTTTTCAATTAAAACTTGATTAAGAAAAAAGATTTGTTACAATTTAAAAACGCATTTGAGATTCTTTGGTGAGCACTTAAAAAAGTAGTAATGGCGGGCATGTGGGGGAGTCGAAAACTGCATGAATGCGAAAGCGCTCGTCAAACAGAGAAGACTGATCAATGTTATTGTTACTAATATAGTATTGTTATTATTACTGTTATCAATCTTGTTATTACTAATGTTTGTATTGTTATTGTTATCATTATTTATATAAATAATAAAATATAAATAATAAAATAAAAGTTAACGATATATGAAAATGTCAATATATATAGTATTATCTTTATTATATATTATTAGCAGTATAAATTTTTACTTAATGTTAGTTATTTTACTATTTGTAAATGTCCTTGAATGTAAGATCTTTATTCAGAAATATATAATTGATTGATTGGGGATCATCCATAAATTATGTAACACAAACTTCACAATAAACAAATCTAAAAAGACCAAAAAAACTAATCCATTAAGTTTAATGAAAATTGCTGTGTATAAGAGCCTAATATCTCATACTTCTGTTTTAAGAATATATTTTGCATTGCATAATTTATAGACAATCCTTTGACTCGTTTTTATTTATTAGTGTTGTAAAAAATTTTTTTAGTTTGTTTATTCTATTACACATTTAAAAGTGCAAAAAAGATTCTTAACAATTCTTTGCAATAACATAAACAAAAGAAAAAATAAATAAATAGTTTATTTATAAAGTTGATATAATTTTTTTTTTAATAAAAGACATTTATAATAAAAAATAAATATTTATATAAATATAAAAAAATATATATGATATTGATTAATATTTTTTAAAAACTTTGGCATATAAAATTCGCCGAATGGTCACACACGAGCAGTGAACGCCTGAGGGAAGAAATCAAGTACATTAGAATAAAGGAGAATTATTTATTAGACAAAGCATATTTTGACAGTTGTCAAGACAAAAATAAAGATTAATAGAGAAATATTTAAAAATAAATAAGACAAGCTATACAACCAAAACAGTACACAACCATAATAACAATATAAAAAATTAAAAAAAATTAAAAACAAATAATAACAAGTAATAATAAAAAATATATATATATATATATAAAAAAAAAAAAAATTAAAAATAAAAATAAAAAATTGTTTTATAATTACCAATATGAACCAAAATACACAAGAAATACATAACCAGTCAAAAATTTGCAAAACAAAAAACTATTCAACAAATTAAAAATATGCTAACGACAATGAAAGGACTAATAATGGAAAGAAAAACATTAATGCTAAAGTGTAAACATAATTAGTGTAGTGATAAGTAATAAACATCTCCTCAGAGTCGCGTCTATTATTACTGGCGTTTCGATGAGGATCAGCATTTATAACTAGTTTATCCCGTCAGACAAACGTCATCGCCACTTATGCTTTACCCCGCGACTGTGTCGCGGGGTAATGTGCGAAAAAATCATTAGAGTGATTTGAGTGATTTATATAAATGCATTTTAATCATATAAAAAAATAATTAAAAACCAAAGTTATTTTATAATTCAAACTGCTTTTTTTTTCTCAACAAAATCTTCCTTAATTTTGAGTGAAGTAACTTTAATGATTCTTATATAAAGTTACCATTGCTGTTTAAAGTTGTTGTTTATAAAATTCAACTTTTTTAAAGTTTTTATTTCTTTTATTTTAATTGTAAATAAAATCTTATATAATTAAATAATATAGATAAAAATTTATATTATTTAATTATATAAAACTTTCAATAGTACTTTAATTGAAATTATTAGTTACTTTATTTATAAGAGTTTTGCAAATATAAAAACATTAGTAAAGTTAAACGTGTTGAATTATTTTCAATGTAGTTAAAAACCATTTTTTCAGCGCATTTTAAAAAATCATGCTCAAATTGTCATAACAAAATATTTTTAAATTGTATCTAAGTAATCTTACGTGTTTGTTCATCATATCATTCTGTGCTTTAGGAAAGATTTAGAGAGGAAAAGGAAAAAGAGATAATACTTATAAAAATTTAATGTCTTGGTTGCATTATGCAACCAAGACATTAAGTTTTTATACTTTATATATATATACAACTTGCATATATATAATTATACTAACTGTGAGTAACACTAATGCAAGTGATGCAATAGTTTTGTCTCAGTCTGTTACTTAGTTATGAAAAAAACATTTATGCTTTTTGAGTATATACTCACTAGCAAAAATGTATATAAATGTCAACCATTGGTATAACAGTAGCTTTTAAGTTTTCATGTAATAGTTTAAATTATTCGTATTTATAATAGTGTTATTTCTTTTAATTTTTAAATATATTTGACTAGGCTAACTTTTTTTTAATTATGTTGTTAAACGTTATATTGTTACATCTTACATAAAAATGTTATGTCTTGGTTACATAAAAATAATACATTTTTGATAATTGTTGCAAAATATTCTTATGTCTCAGTTATTTAAAAATAACAGACACTTGTAACCAAACCATTATGTATAATGTTACGCCTCAATGCCTAATGTTGTTGTAGGTGTAGAAATTGAATTTATAATGTAAATATTTCTAATCTTTAATTGTAGAGCTAACTAATGAGTTTTGCTAAAATTGTTTATATATAATAAACAACTATATTAAATTAGTATACAATTAATATTCATAATAATTAATACAGTTGCCTAGTATAGAAAATGTATTTTATCAATAGTATATGATAATTTGATAATTATTTTCGTCTATCAGAATATTACTTGATTGTTTTTTTTTTGTTTCAATAATAATTTTTAAACTTAATTTCAGGATGAAAACATATCCCAATTTGCATGTTCCAAACCCAGAGCTTTTCCTGAACTTCCATTACTGCCTAAAAATATTGTTGAATCTGATCTTTACAAGGTTTGAATTTTTTCATTTGATTTTTAATTTTTTCAAATTAAAATATATTTTAGTATTATATATTAAGTATAGTACTATTATAATTTCATTAAATTAGTACTGAGCGCAAATATCTTTATACAGTGTTAATGTTACTATATAATTGTAATAACTGTTCATATAGATTATAGGAGATTGTAATTTGCAATACCAACCCACTTAAACAAATATTTATAAAAATTAAAACTTAGTTTTAACTTAATCCATAATCATTTTTAATGATTAAACTTTAACTAGCTAAAATGATCTCGAATTTTTTAAGTTATTAGTTAAAAAAATAGAATTATTTTAAAAGTAGTTAATTAAAGAAATATTTTTTCAATTAAAAAATATTTAAGCAAACTTGTTTATAAATGTTCTATTTATTTTTTAAGCTTACAAACTTGCTGAATTTTTTTTCAAATGTTTATAAAACTTATCATAGTCTATTATTTTTTAATAATATTTTAAATAGTTTATATACTATAGTTTGAACAGTATGGGGTCATATCATGTCAAAAAAACTTTAAGATATGGTAAAGATATATTATTATTCTTAAAAAGATCCATTATTATCAGATTACCAAAACACAAATTTGATCTCAGAAGTTAGGTTCTAGACTTTTTTGGAAAATCTTTAACAATGTCATTAAATAAGTGTAACATTTTATCTTTAATACATGGGTCTGAACTTATACCTCTCTTATAAACAAAACAAAACTCTCTGCAAAAAACTTTCTAGTTTATCATTAGATTTTAATGACTACATTCTTTCTGTCATTTGGAGAAATGGTTAATCTATTTTTAGACATTCAAATTACTCTAACTTCTGTATTATTTTGATTTTCCTTAAAAAATGATTTTTCAGAATTCTCTTTTATACTCTTTAAATTATTTAACAGATGCTTAACTGAATCTTGTTTTTTTTTTTTTGTCTTCTACATAATGGCCTATGTGGTTATTCTCTGACAATCAATACAGATTTTCATCTTTTTGTTCTACTGCTGACTTGTTAACCGAAAGATTATACTATACATTTAGTTATCATATTTAGACTATACAGTTATCATATTTAGACTTCTTATGTTGGTTCTAAGACCTCCAAGACTTGTTCTTCTAATGACGTCTTTCCTCTTTTAGACAAGGTCCAAAAATGTATTTCAAATATAGTTGAATCTGCCTAGCTGCCTAGCTTGATTCTTCTGCCCCATTGTTTTTAAGTTTTACTTTTATCATTTTTGTTAAAGTAAATACTAGCAATGTTGGTAAGTAAGAAAAATTTAAGTTTTTTTTTGAAGTTAAAATTTAACAATTATGATCACATGTATTGAGTGTTCCTTCTTTCAAGTTGCATACTTGAACCTTCTCAGAATTTGCGTGCGGTTGCATGCTTTATATGACCATGCATATAATATTTTGTTTTGACAACTTAGCCATGGCTTTTTGCATGTTACTGCATTTAAAAAATGCGCTGAATAAACAAATGTAAACTTAACTAAAATTAAAATAAACAAACCTTTAACTGGAAAGAGAAATAAAAACTAAAAAAAAAAAAAAAAATACAAAACTAAACTAAAAAAAAAAAAAATCTTAACAAATGAAAAAATAAAAAAAAATTAAACCAGAAAAAAATAAAAGCATAAAATTAATATATGTTTTTTTTTTTTTAATTTTAAAAGTGTTTCACTGCAAAGAGTTAAATTAGGTAAATTAAGTTTGAACTGTTAGTTGAGGCGCTTCTAAGTTAAAAAATATATTAGTTTTATTCTTTTATTTTCTCTGGTTTATCCTTTATTTATTCATTCATTAAGTTCCTTTCTCTTTTCAGTTTATGGTTTGTTTATTTTTAATTTTCTCTTTAAGTTTGGTTTTTTTAGCGCGTTTTTTAAAAAACACAAATTACCAATATATGCTAAAAACCATGGGCAAATTGTCAAAAAAAAATTATATGAGTAGTCATATAAGGTATGTAACTGCACGCATCTCCTGAAAAAAACTTGCGAATTGTATATTTTTCTAATTTTTTGTGTGAAAGAGATTGGTTTTTGTGGGTTTATATTATTTTATTTTGTTTTTGTTATTGATGTTATTTTTTAGAAAAATCAAATTTTAATATTGCTTAAATTATTTTATTAAATTAAAGTTTATTCAAATTCATTTTAATTAGACTGTAAACAAACATGGCATGTATCCTCCTATATTAAAAAAAAAATCATGGAACAGAGCAGTCCCATATAAAGAAATGTCGTATTATCGGACACCAAGTGAATCTATTGCAAATAATTATACTCCAACCATTCAGAATCTTAAAATCAAAGAATTGCATAAACTTGATGCTAATAATAATTATATATCAGATAAGTTTTATCAAAAACAAAATCAAAAATTGATTGGTGAAAAAGAAACATTAGATAGGTAAAAATAATTATTCTTAATGTTATTAACTTATTCTTTAGCTTTTAGTCAAAAATGGCGATATTAATTTGTTAAAATCTGTTCAATTCATGAACCAAAATGTTATTAAAAAATTGATTCAAAATTTTTTATCCATTTGCTGTTCAAAGTAATAAAATTGAAATTGCTAATTTAAATTAAAATGATTAATAAAGTTTAAGCACAATGTTTTTACTATAAAATACATAAAAAAAAAAAAATAAGGATGTAGTATATATATATATATATATATATACATATATATATATATATATATATATATATATATATATATATATATATATATATATATATATATATATATATATATATATATATATATATATATATATATATATATATATATATATATATATATATATATATATATATATATATATATATATATATATTAGAGTGCCACTATAAACAACTTTTATTGAAATGGTCTACTGCCACCCCCTAAATGTGTTCTATGTAATAAATTAACACTAAATTAAAAAAAATTTTTTTTAGGGGTTTGCTCAAGACCCTTAAGCATCAAACGAGTCCCTAATATTTTGAAAAAAAAAGTTCTTCAAAAGTATATTATGTTGGGTCTCAAAAGAAGTGAAATTTTATAAAAAGTTTCAAAAATAATATTCAAATATGAAAAAATTAAAATATTAACAAACTAAATCAAATTATCAATTTAAGGAATAGTTTTGTTTATTATTTTTTGAAAAAAAGTTTTGTTTTTTTAATATAATTGACAGTTGTATATATTTTTTTAATTTTAAACATATAAATTGTTTAAGTGTTCATTTCTAAAATAAATCTTATTAAAAAATAAAAAATTGTTTTGTTATTATAAATGATGACATTCTACAGCTATGAAAGTCTCTTTAACGAATTTAAATATAAGAATGATTAAAGTTAATGCATTTAAAAAGATAAAAAAAAGTTTTGTTAAAAAAAAAAGTTTTAGAAAACCGTTAAAATTTTAAAAGTTTGATTAAATTCTTTATAATATCGAAACGGTTTTAATAAAGTAAAAAAAAAAACACTTCTAATTAATTTAAAAAAAAGTATTTATAAAAATTTTTTTTATTTTATTTATATAACTATGTATTTTTTTATGAGAAATATTCAACTTTTGAACATTTGAAATAAAAAATATATAAAAATGTTGAAACAAAGATTGAAAAGCTTTTTTAATGCGTAAATTAAATAGACTAAGCATTTTAGTTTGATGAGTTTTGTTTTAGTTGCGTTATATATATATATATATATATATTTATTTTTTGTGTTTTTGCTTTAACTAAGTATTTTTTTTATTTTCTCTTTCGTTAATATTTATTAATTTTTAAAATTTATTTTCAGATAAGTTTAGGTAAGTTTTTGTAGTGCGTTTTTAAATTTTAAAAATATACCGTGGTCAAATCGTTAAAACATTTTTTTTTTGCATGGTCATATAAAGACGTGATATTGCACGTCTTCTTGTGAAAGCCTGATATTAATATATATATATATATATATATATATATATATATATATATATATATATATATATATATATATATATGTGTATGTATGTATGTATATATAGGCTTGGCCAGAAAAGGTGTGCGATTTCACGTCATAATATGATCACGCAAATACTATTTAATTTTACTTAACTTGACCATGGCTGTTAAAATGTTTCAAAAACTTTTATACGTTTTAAAACACGCTAAAAAATTAAATCAAATCCTAACTTAACGATAAAGAAACTTAAAAAAAAATTATTGTTAAAAAAGCAAATAAACCTTTTAAAAAAAAATTCTGAAAAACAAAATTAAAATAACTTAACTAAAACTAAAATAGCAAAAATAAAATTAAAACTTAACTGAAATAAATAATAAACTATAACAATAAAATTATCTAAAATTGTTTATCTTTACTAATATTTTTATTTTATCTTTACTAATGTTTTTATTTTATCTTTATCTTTGCTAATGTTTTTCTTTAACCTTTTTTAAATAAAGTAACAATATACTAAAAACTGACAATTGTTTAATAAACGTTTGCATTTTAAAGTTTAAAAATATATTCTTAATCCTTCGCACAAAAGAAAAAAATAATTAAATCGTTTATTTAAAAATTGATATAATTTTTTTTTATTTAAAAAAATTATAATAAAAGATAAATACTTTAATAATATTTAAAAATATGTATTATTCATTAATGTTGTAAATCATTAGAAGTGATTTGTTAATATATTTAAATGTGCTACTTTATTTAAATACATTATAAAAATGTAAGTAAAGATCAAAGTTATTCAATTCAAACGGCTTTCAAAAAATTTTGTATTTTTTTTCCTTCTCAACAAAAACTTTAATGATTCTTATATAAAGTTTATAAAAGGAACTTTCACTGTTTAAAGTAATCGCTTATAATTTTTTTTTTTTTTAATTTCAACTTTTTTTAATTTTTACTTATAAAATATCTTATATAATTAAATAATAAAAATAAAAAATTTTACAACTTTCAATGATACTTTAATTTAAAAGAGTTTTACTAATATAAAAATGTTAGTAAAGATAAACGTGTTGTAGTAATTTATTTTCAACATAATTTCAACATAATACTCATTCATTTAGTTTGCGGCAAAAACTTATGAGTAAACAAATAAAAAGTTAAAAGACAAATTATTTTGAGATTAATGCAATTATTATTTATTATATTGTTATTAAAATAATATATTACATACAATTTTTATTATATACTAAGAATTATTATATATAAATAAGAACTTCAATCAATTATGAAAAAATGATTTTCACCACTATTTAAATGAAAGTAATTCAAATAAAAAGAAAAGAATTATTAGATGTCAAGTCTTATGTTACATTCGTTAGCGAAATGAACTTAATGAACTTAATAAGTTTACAATAAGTTACGAAAGTAACTTATTGTAAACTTATTAAGTAAATTATTGTAACTTATTGTTACAATAATTTACTTAATTTAGCCTAATTTGAGCACTTTTTCAAAATTTTAATGATTATGTGATAATTTAGTACATGCTTTTTCCAAATAATAATCTGATTATTTTTTAAATCTTGTTTTTCAAAACTCTGATTATTTTTAACTGGTCAACCATGACCGGCAAGAATTTATTTTGGGAGGTCAAAATAGCAATTTTACTCATTTTGGGCGGTCATTGACCGTTGACTGGCCGTTATTTCACTTGTTGTTTAAATATCTGGATATTTAAACAGCGTGTGAACTTTAGAGCTTCTAAACCAAGATAAAGTGGGATGCTTGTGTAAAGATTGACAATGTCACATGTCACTATACGACTTCCTGATTTAAACTTTCTTGGAATTTTTCTGAGGAAATCCGAGTCATCTTTAATGAAAGATTTTTGTTTCGTTACAATCGGTGATAAGATTAAATGTAAAAACTGGCTCAAATGAGATGTTGGCTAATTTAAATCGAGTGATGAACTTCACAAAAACTAAATTCATCCATATCAAGAATGCAAAGATGAAGATATTAAGTGCATCAATAAAAAATAGTCCAAAAAAGTGAGTTCTACTAAAATTGCTTTCAAAAGAGATAAATTTAAATTCCAAAAAATATTCACCACACTACATTATTAATAATAATAATATTGATGTAAGTTCAATTGTATCAAATAACGATGGCATCCACCATGACCAACAAACAAAATCAATACCGTCAAAAAACTGGACAAGCCCAAATACAAAAAAAATACAACCTAAGGTCATCAACCTATCTACCAAACATTTTATGGTACACAATTTTATGGTACCACAAATAACCATTTTATTATAATTAAAAATAAATCTAATTATTGTACCAAAACCACTCTTCCAGAATTAAACGAAATTATTTCACAAATTGAACGAACTAACGCTATTAAAGTTCAATATATTGATAACATTACAAAACAAGAAAGAGCAGCAATAAAAGAATTACAAGAAATGAACAACATAGTCATTAAAATAGCTGAGAAAAGTAATACTTTAGTTGTAAATTGATAAACAAACATAACTACCTCACGACAAATGAGATAAAATATATCACAAACTTTAAATGGAAATCTAATAATTTCTATGAAAACCCTAAAACTTACAAATGCCAAGAAATTATTAATAAGGTAAGAGTCCGACTCTTTATTTATTGTAATGAAACCACCAAAAGATCTTAAAGGTAGACCAATTATTGCCGGAATAAATTAGCCAACATCTTATTTAAGCCAGTTTTTACATATAATCTTATCACCGATTGTAAAGAAACAAAAATCTTTCATTAAAGATGAATGGGATTTCCTCAGAAAAATTCCAAGAGAGTTTGAATCAGAATGTCATATAATGACATGTGACATTGTTAATCTTTACACAAGCATTTCACATTATCTTGGTTTAGAAGCCCTAAAGTTCAGGATGTTTAAATATAAAGAATTGATAGATGATAGATTTACACCTGAATTCATAATTGAGTCAGCATCTTTTATTTTAAATAACAATAATTTTATATTTGATAAACAATTATTTCACCAAACAGCTGGTACAGCCATGGCTACAGATTTCGCACCAGATTATGCTTGTCTCACTATCAGGTTTCTAGAAGAGACTAAGCTTTTTCAAATAATCTTACCTCAGGCCTTGTGATAAAGCATGACTTAAAATTCACATCAGGCGATGTGAATTTTACATTGTCCAAGAGCGATTTTGTGTGTAGCTAGGGCTATTTGCGTTGAACAAAAAAAATTTTTGTTTGAGTATATTTAAAGATATTTTTGAGTGGAATTTTAATGAAGTAATTTATCATTGTTTTAACATTTAATAAAGTATTTTAAAAACCGCATGCAGTTGATATAAAAGTTTGATTAAAAAAAAAAAAAAAATATGCTCATTATTTACAAGTAGAAAAAAATTCAGATTAAAAAAAAAGTTTAAATCTTTTTAAGCTAACATTTTAATAAAATTATT